AAGGTCATTGGTAAAGACTTCACAGAAGAAAATATGGTAGCACCCACCAGAAATAATTCGTCAATGACATGTTTCAATGGAAACAGCCCAGCATGTGTCCTAAAATGTACATACAACCTATGTATATAAACTATGTGTAATAGTGTGTACATACAACACTATTATCAAGTGTAGTTCAGTATGGTACCAAACACCTACTGAACAGAGTTACATAGGCATAAATGGGGGTGGAGGCAGCCGTACTACAGAGAAACTCATGTACGAAGTTGACGTGGCTGGAAATACATGGGTGTGGAGATACCTTCCTATTTATATTAGCGCGTGTAAAAAGACGCGCCGGGGATTACGGCAAAGTGGCAGCAGGCTCGCTAGGTTAGTAGTCGGTAGCAGGAGGAGTGGCTGAAAATTCAACGGAGAAAATTGTCCTAGTTTTCCCTCTTTAGCACCAAAACCCACCCAGGATTGGGATTGTTTTATGTCGAAATTCTATCACCAAAAGCAAGAGGGGGCTGGACAGATGGCTCAGCAGTTGAGCACTGACTGCTCTTCCAGAAGTCCTGAGTTCAGTTCCCATCAACCACATGGTGACTCACAACCATCTATAACGGAGCCTGATGCCCTTTTCTGGCACGCAGGTGTACATGCCGACAGAGCAGTATATACACAAATAAAACACTAAAAAAGAGAAAAAAGAGAGCAAGAGAGGGTGGGGTGATAAAGAACTTTTCGGTAAATAATTTTTTTTTAACTTACTTGAAAATGAAGACTATACAGGCAGGCAAATTCTAGCACTTGGAAGGCAAGTGGATGAAAAAAAAAAGTCTATGTAGTGAGTTCCAGGCCCCAGGACTGGGTTATAATGAGACTATGTCAGCCGGGCGGTGGTGGCGCACACCTTTAATCCCTGCACTTGGGAGGCAGAGGCAGGTGGATCTCTGTGAGTTCGAGGCCAGCCTGGTCCATAGAGTGAGTTCCAAGACAGCCAGGGCTGTTACCTTTACCTTTGAGTTTTGAGAAAAGTAAAGTCTGGGTAGACTACACAAAACCTGGCAAGTGAAGATACTAATGCCATGCCTGATAACTTGAGTCGGGTCCTTGGGATCTGCATGGTAAAGAGAATGAACTACTGTAAAATGTCCTCTCGCCGCCACATGTGTGCAGGCGAGCATGTGCTCATGTACGTACACACAAAACAAACAAATACAATTTTAAAACATTTTTGGAAGGAGAAAAGCAAAGGCTAAGATATTTTGTCAGCATTATAAATAATTGAATTTATTCAAAAGATCACTTAATATTTCTTGTACGGCCAGACAGTGGTGGTGCACGCCATTAATCTGAGCACTCAGGAGGCAGAGGCAGGAGGATCTCTGTGAGTTCGAGGCCAGCCTGGTCTACAGTGCTAGTTCCAGGTCAACTAGGGCTGTTACACAGAAAAACCCTATCTCAAAAAAAAATATCTCTTGTATGATGGGTACCATGCTCATTTTATGGAGAGAAGCATGTAAGAAACAGGCCCTAGCTGGGCAAGGTGGTGCACACCTTTAACCCCAGCACTCTGGAGTCAGAATTTGAGGCCAGCCCTGCCTACAGAGTTCCAGGACAGCCAGGGAAACTCAGAGAAACCCTGTCTCAAAATAAATATAAATAAATAAATATCAAGCAAGAACTTTTAGAATAAAACTACATTTTGGGTTTTTTCTTTTAAAGAAAGAAAGAAGGCAGAACCAGAGACAGAAGACAGGAGAAGAAGGATTAGATCACTTAGTATAGGTCAACAATACATTTCAAAGGGGAATTTGAGCAGAAAGTAGAAGAGCTCTGGGAGGTTGGGAAAAGGACGGCCTTTGGATTATGGACATAGAAGAAGGAGAATTAACACTGTCACAGAGGGATAGAGAATATCTCCAATAAAATAGTAGAAGTTTTTTTTTTTTTTCCCAATCCTGTAGATACAAGAGGCCTATAGAGCTCTGAATAGACCAGGACCAGGAAAGAAACTCCCCATAACATAATATACTTAAAACACTACAAACAGAATAATTGAGTAGTGGTGTGAACGCTTTTAATCCCAGCACTCTCAAGGCCTGCCTGGTCTACAGAGAGAGTTCCAAAACAGGACTACACAGAGAAATCCTGTCTCAAAAATCCTAAAAACAAAACAAGGCAATTCAAAATAATAACAAACAAACAAAAAGCTAAAGAAGAATTAAGAGCTGCAGAAGAGGAAGGTGAAGTCATTTATAGTCAGGCCCATCATAGACTGTGGTTATTTCACAGAAACTAAAATGCAGAAGGGCCTGACAAGACGTATTCTAAATTCTGAAAGACAACAATTGTCAACTCAGCAAAACTGAAGAAGAAATAAAAACATACCGTGATAAAAAATAAATTTATTCAAAAAATAAGCCATCTTTGCAGAGGACATTAGGAGGAATTCACTGGTCTGAAACAAAGATAAACATATCAAAGATGTCACAGGGAATGCATAAACAATTCCAAACTATTTCATCAAAAGAGGTCTAAGAAAATATTACATCAAAATGACAGGAATTAATACACATGGTTTAATAACAACACTTAATATTAAACGTAGTGGCATTTCATTTATATTTTAATAAATAAAGCTTGCCTAAAGATCAGAAAAGTAAAACAGCCACACTGGCCAGCCTTACAGATGAGGCAGCAATGACACACACCTTTAATCCCAGTAGCCACACTAGTTGCCATAGAAACCCGGTGGTGCACTCCTTTAATCCCAGAACTAGAGAGGATTATGAAGCGGGAGGAGACAGCTCTCAGTCTCAGTCTCCTGAGGTTCCCTGGAGGCAGGATCACCATTTTCAGACTGAGGTCAAGGTAAGAACCAGTGGCTGGCTGCTTTGCTTTTCTGATCTTCAGGCTGAACCTCAATATCTGTCTCTGGGTTCTTATTAATCATGCTACCTTAACAGTCTCAATTCTCCAATAAAGAGGATAGACTAGCAGGTTGGATGATAAAGCAGGACCCATCTTTTTGCTACTTCTAAGAAATACATCTCATTATCAAAGATAGGCACAGCCTTAGAATAAAAGGATGGAAAGGGTATTCTAAGTAAAAGGACCCACAGACCAGGATGTGTGGCATTCTAATAGCCAACAAAACAGACTCCAAGCCAAAACTAGTCAAAGCAGACAAAGAGGATCACTTCCTGCTTGTTAAAGAAACAATTCATCTAGAGGATATTACAGTTCTAAATATATACATACCGAATAAAGATGCACCCCAACATCCACCCTACCAAAGCTGCACAGGGCAACAACAGGATATCCAAGAGGAGTCCCAGTGAGGGTTCAGCATTGAGAGTGTAGCAGAAGCCAGAGACTTCAAACCAGACCAAGGACTCTTGAAATGAACACTTGCAAGTAAAGATATATCAATTTAAAAAAAAAAAAAACAGATCAAGTCTGGGTATGATCATGCACACCTTTAATCCCAACACTTGAGAAGCAGAGACAGGTGGATCTTTGTTTAAAATAATAATAATAATAATAATAATAATAATAATAATAATAATAATAATAATAATAATAATGTGCATTGGGGGCTGGAGAGATGGCTCAGAGGTTAAGAGCATTGCCTGTTCTTCCAAAGGTCCTGAGTTCAATTCCCAGCAACCACATGGTGGCGCACAACCATCTGTAATGGGGTCTAGTGCCCTCTTCTGGCCTGCAGGCATACACACAGACAGAATATTGTATACATAATAAATAAATTAATTAATTAATTTTAAAAAATGTGCATTGGTATTCTGCCTGCTTGTATGTCTGTGTGAGGGTGACAGATCCCCAAGATCCCTGGACCACTAGAAGAGCATCCAGGCAGTGCACTCAACCACTGAGACATTTCTCCAGCCCCAGCTCTGGTCTACAAAGTGAGTTCCAGGACAGCCCAGACTGTTAACATTGACTGAGCTTTCTGGACTCAGCGGACTTGACTATAAACTGTAAGAAGGGTTAGAGTCTGATCTACAGTTTATTCTAGGGCTTAGGCTGAAGACTGAAGGGCAGTAGCTACCCCAGGGCTGATGTCTCGGTGTTATCAGAAGCCCATGACGGCAAAGCAATCATGCTAACACATTTTGAGACTTTGCTCACATTCCTTCCAGGGGCCAAAGCAAGTTGCACATACAAGCCCTAAGTCAAGCGGTGTGACACACACTGTGTCCTCCGCCTTTAAGTCCAATGTTCAACAGGCAGAGGGAGGCAGATATCTACATTTAAGGCCAGCCTGATCTATAGAGTTGGTTCCATAACTGTATAAGACCCAGTCTTAAAAGAAGAAAGGTATAGTTAACTATGTTCTTTGAAATAACTGTGTTAAGGAAAGAAATTATTCTCTGTAGCATATGGACTTCATGTAAGCTTGTCTCTCACTCTCATTTAAAAGAAAGAATGAAAGAAAGGAATTAGTGCATTAATTATTTAAAATACATGGTGCAAGTGTTCCTATGAATTAATCCAAGGCACTTGGAAGACAATTACACTCCGTGTTAATACGCTGCCAGGCTTTTCCAGTATGCTGCCCTCCAAAGAGTACTGTGATTTCGCTGCCGGCGCTCACTATTCCATATGCATGTGGAAAACAAGCATTTTCATCAGAATTACTGTAATAGCATTAAGGGATTATTATTATTTTCCAGTTTCTTTGGAAGAACCGTCACTAAATCAGATTATTGTTTACTTGACTGCTCTTCTCTCTGTCCTGTACATTTTGGTAACTAGAATCCTGGAAAATATCAACTTCAGAATAAAAACCTGATTTTATACATTAGTGATCTTAAATAAAAGGGGAGGTGCTACGTTTGCGCCTCACTTCCTTCAAGAAAGTTAAGTCTGCATTCTGCTTAGGAGAGATAACACTTTTTGTCCCTGTAGGTGGCCCCCTGGTGTAGCCATTAGTAGCTAATGACTTGCAAACAAATAAACAATTAACTCCTTAAGCTGCTAGCTGGGCAACTGTTCATTGAATTGCTAAAACTTTCTAAAACAGGATTTTAATTAGTGACATTCAAAACCCAGCCCCCAAGTCAACAAAGCTATAAGGTGAACTGCTGGAGGAGCCCAGCTCTGCACACGCGGGGCAGGAGCCCTCCAGCTCTGCACGACCCAAAAGAGGATGTCTCCCAGCCTTCGGGAAGGTGCTCAGCTCAGGGAAACCAAGCCCTCATCCTGCTCCTTCTCAATTGAGAGCATTTTAGGACTGGACCAGAAAAAAGATTGCGTACCGTCAATAAGACCCCACAGACCGTGGGCAGACACCTGCGGCGACTCAGGTATGCCACAACTTAATTTTTAAGTTCATCTGCCTTTTAGTTTGTCCTTTATTTCGCACAATATAGAGTTAGAAACTACGTTTTCCTTCTGTTCCACAAATACAAAAAGCCCCTACGGGACCGTAAGCGAATAGAGTGTCTGCCATAGATGGGAAGAGATGTTAGTTCACTTGCGGAAAGAGCTAACATCTGCTTCAGAAGACCCTCTGTGTGTTTGACACGTCAGGCAATCTAACTCTCTTCTCCCTGAAAAAGAAATGGTAGAGTCCAAGATGTTCTCTGTCATCACACAGAGTTTCCTTTCCTTCTTTTCTTTCTTTCTTTCTTTCTTTCTTTCTTTCTTTCTTTCTTTCTTCCTTCCTTCCTTCCTTCCTTCCTTTCTTCCTTTCTTCCTTCCTTCTCTCTCTCTCCTCCCTCCCTCTCTCTCTCTCTCTCTCTCTCTCTCTCTCTCTCTCTCTCTCTCTCTCTCTCTCTCTCTCTCTCCTTTTTTGGGTGATGGGAGAGGCTGTTCTTTTGTGAAATCCTGAAGAATTCTCTAGGAAAATTCAAAATAAGTTACTGAAATGACCTTTTCTCAGATTTATGGAACACAGGCAATCTAAGATGGAGTTTATTCTTCTGATTTTAGAGAAATGTGGCAACCCATGCCTACATGCCCCGGATCTTCCCAGCGAGATCTCATTTCCTTGTCCCGTGGATCACCCAATGCCAGAAGAGAGGGCTTCGAAATACGAAAATTATGTTTCAGCCTCAGAAACACTCTCTTTGAAAAGGGAATTGAGTTGGTACAGAGGACGAAGACCAAGAACTGCTTTTACCCAAAGTCAGGTGGGAAGATTTTTCACCCAACAGTAATAGCGCACGGCTGTAACTGCTGCGTGGGTGAGCAACAGCCGTTCACTTCGGGACCCCAGTGCAGGAGGTCATCAGTGAAACAATTATAACAGTCTCTGGGTTTTCAAATTTTAAAAAATGCATTCAAGTTAACTGCCCGAGTTTAAGAGTGTTGTTTTTGTCTGCACAGAGGAAAGCCCAGTTCTGGTGCCATATGGACTGTTACCCCGTTAAAGAATCCCTTCCTTATCCTAGGTTGAAGTATTGGAAGATGTCTTCAGAGTGAACTGCTATCCTGGCATTGACATCAGAGAGGACTTAGCTCAGAAGCTGAATCTAGAGGAAGACAGAATCCAGGTAATTTGCAAGCACAGTTACTACCTGTGATGGTAATACAGCAATGTGTCTGAGAACTATTTTTATCTTCCCTTGATTTTAGATTTGGTTCCAAAATCGCCGGGCAAAGCTGAAAAGGTCCCGTAGAGAATCACAATTTCTAATGGCAAAAAAAGCCTTCAACACAGATCTGAAATAGCCAAAAAATTACACATGTGAACTTCTCTTCCAATTGCAGAACACAAGGAACCAACGGAAATATCAAGTATTTAAAATGTTACCATTTCTTTCCTGTACCTAATCTGAAATTGTCATTCCTTCTGAAAGTATTGCAAAATAAGTATGATTCTAGCATAGTACATATTATAACTGGACATTTTTAGTTATTATGAAGAAACCTTTCCTATATATTTTAATAAATTTTTAAAGAAATGATAGCTATTTTAATATACTTTTCTTTGAGAATTTTGTAGCTGTATATAATATATTTTAATCATATCCATCCCTTCTCCTTCCCCTAACACTTCTCAGGTGCACCCCATTCTCCCCACTTCCTCCCAACTTCAACACTAACAACAATATTTCCAAACGAGTAAAGCTAATCTAATAAATTAATATGTGCACTAAAATCACTAAGCTCATACATAAACTAAGAGATCCCGCAGAAGGGATGCGACTAACAAAGTATTTTAAAAGTAGAGCAATAAAAAAAGAAGGGTCCAATTTAGTTCAATTAGTTTCTTTTCATCTTGAGACGCAGTTGTACATATCTATATCATAGGGTGAGTTGTGAACCTTCTGTTGATTTCTGGCCCTGTGTTCAAACAAGTCCTTACAGCCCACCAATTTCAAGGTTTTTGTTTGTTTGTTTTGGTTTGTTTGTTTTAAGTCATCATGACAAAGTACAGATCTAAGACCCTCAGCTCTCCCAGTCCCATCACTGTATTGTACTGCCGAAAAGAATCAAGCTGCAGGGCTGGTGAGACAGTCCACAAGGTAGAGGCACTTGCTGCCATGCCTGGAGGCCCAGGTTCCATCAGTCCCCCAGATCCCACAGGACAGAAAGAGAAAACCAATACTTGAAAGTGGTTTTCTGATCTTCACACATGCACAACACACATGTGTACTCACATGTGCGTCCGTCCACACCATGAGTAAATAAGTGTGACTTTAGCGATTTAAAAGTGAGTGAGTTTGCAGATTAGATGCGAATTTTAAGCAGCTTCCAGGTTCGTTTGCTGTGCTCTTCTTTTGTTGTTTTAAGTGACAGGAATCGTCTTGTTGTTTCTGTGTCCAATCACTACACGCCTCGGGACCACGCTGCATGGACTGGCTTTTTGGATGTGCCCTGACACAGCTCCTGGAAATAACCAGGGCACTTTCTGTGGACAAACCATACCTGCCACCTGAAGATAAAGTGAGGAGAGACGTGACAATAAGGGAGTCCTCTCCTCTTAAAAACTAACAAACAAACGAACAAAAATCCCTAGGTATTTGTCTCCCAGTTAATGAAAAAACCTGTGGGTAGGTTTTTGTTTAGTTTTGAAAAGTTGGTTTGAATGGTTTGAATGCTCCAATTCCGTCCAATGCTAGCGAGATTTCAGTTTTCTACACCTGAACTGAATTCTCCTTTTTCTTTCCTATCTCCCCTATCCCTCCGTCCATCCTATTTCCCTGTGAACACTAAAGGTTCTTACTGAACCTATCAAATCCATTACCACTACACGTTTTTTTTCTGGGATATTTACCTATTTATTGAAAGACAGCTTGTTGTTATATCTGAGTTTGACTCGGAACTTTGTCAAATAATTTACTGGAGCATATTTGGGGCAGAGAGCTCTGTTTCCCAACAATTGATCAGCAATAAACTGCTCATTCTTCCCCACTATCGCCAAGACAGGGAAGGAGGAGGAAAGGGTGAACAGGGCTGTCACTAGGAAGGCCTGGGGTTAAAGGGCTTCTGAGGAGAACTGGGCCCCTCCTGCCAGCATAAGGAACCACTGCCATTAGTAAAGAGTTCGTGCAGCCCTTACGAAGCACATCAGCCAACATTTCTCCACCAGTAGTTCTCTTTCTTCTCCACTGGGCTCCTATGAAAACGTTGAGGTTGGAAGCTAACAAGAGCAGAAGGAGGGGGGCGTGTGTCATGTTATAGAAATAAGCTTTTATTTCATTTTGTAAACAATACTGCCAAAGTGGAAGCCACCTCAAGTCTTATTCTTCAGAGATAACCACCGTTAAATATGTTATAAATCTTAATATATCATTAAAAAATTGTTAGCTTTTTGTTGGTTTGCTATTGTTTATTCAATATGATCATAACTTGCAGTATCTTGTCATGCCAGAATTACTGTTTTCTCCTTAGTATCCGCTTAGTTTATAAGATTTCAAGTCTTGAACAGAGAAACTACTCTACTTACTAATATTTGAACATTTTTGAATTAGTGTGTTTCGCAAATTTTGATTTCAAACCAAAGCCACAGTTTGTCTGTAATTAAAACTAAACTCATAAAGAGGGTGAGGAGTCTGTAAAAGAGTCCACAACCAAAGAGATGAAGCAGCTCCGCAGACACTGCTCGGCAATCTTCAGAGGGGTATGGGAAAGCGGGTGCAGCTAGAAGTCCGATGAGGAAGGGCGCCGTGGCTAGGCAGTAGTCTTCACCACCGCATTTCCCAGCACAACCTTGTAGCGTTGACTCCTGGGTCCTAAAACTCAGCCTGGCTTACAACTAAGATAAGTTCTGTGTGACCCATGGCGTTATGTTTTTATAACTGAAATAATAGTGCGACCTCACAATAATTACAAAGGATATAATTAGCGTTGGGCTCAGAAGGAGAGCACTCACCTCGCCTGCATAAAACCCCCAACTCCAGCACCACAGAAAAAGGATTACAATTGTAATTGAAATAAATAATATTTAGATGTCAGAAAAAAATTAAGACAGTTTGCATTGTTGAAAATAACTGTAAATGTGATGCATAGCCATTTATTTTTAAATATTAATTACAATACCACTTCTATTATGATTCTTATAAGACAAAATTGTATTATATAAGAATATTCAAGAAGGACAGCACATGAGATCAGCACTTTATTGCCCTTAAAATCGTTTTCAAACACCTGAAAGGTAATGACTGATCTTATTCGAGGAAATAATGACTCAGGTAATGTAATTTAATGGAGTTAAAATTACCAAAATTTGTAAAGAACGTAATGACATTCAGGGGGAAACAGGAAGTTAACTTTAAGGGAGGGAGAAAACAAGCAAAATGCAAAGCTAGGGTAGAATTCTTTCCCCTGAGCTCAGGGAAATCCTTAATCCACAGCTTATCTCTGCTGCGGGTAATTCCAGGCCTTTGTCTCCATTAATGCCCAGGACAAGGTGAACAGTAGCAGCAAATCAAACTAATGCAGTCAGGCTAATACCTGCGGAGTCTCTATTATCTGCCGTCTACCCAAATGAAGTTATTTGGTCTCCCGTAATGGCGTTTGTCTCTGCTAAAGCCAGCTAGACAAAGCCCATCGGCAAAGGGTTCTGGTGGGAACAATGGTTGTGTGCGCCTGGTGGTCAGCTCTGGAGTTAATCAGTGTTAATAGCAGCTTCCCCCACTGGCGTCTTATCACACATCTCACAAATAACATAACCCTCCCATTACCAAGCCAGCACACAGCACCGCCGGGACTCTGAAGCGGGGCGAGTGAGCTCGCCTGTTTACGTGACGTGAGGCCCAAGTCACTGAGTCAATCAATGACTTTCTGAGTCTGTTCTAGCCCCAAATGAGACAAAAACTCTACTGCCTTTGGTTTAGCCTAGCGCTCTCTTCCTGTCTCTCGTTGCACCCACACAGGACAACGGAGGCAAATCCAGTGACTCTCACTGAGACCCCAACCCTGTGAGGCTCACCCCCTTCCAATTTCCTCTTTCATTTTTCATTCTCACCCTTCAGTGCTAAGTGACCTTGGCAGGCATGGTGGTATCGGCAAGCTTTATTGATTGAGTCCCACAGACGAACCCCTCACTAAAGAACTCTGGAAACTAAAAGGTTTACTGCTATCTTCTGTTACAAAATCACTAATGGCCGGGCGGTGGTGGCGCACGCCTTTAATCCCAGCACTCGGGAGGCAGAGGCAGGCGGAACTCTGTGAGTTCGAGACCAGCCTGGTCTACAAGAGCTAGTTCCAGGACAGGCTCCAAAACCATAGAGAAACCCTGTCTCGAAAAAACAAAAACAAAAACAAAAAAAAAAAAGATCACTAATGTTGAGGAACCAAACCACCTGCTTCTGTTCTCCAGTCTGTCTCGTAGGATGGCTGATGTGGCCATCTGCTTAACAGACATGTATGACGAGGTAATTTCAGTAAATCGAATGACAGTGGAGGTTGTATCCGGTTGTCCTACTTGCCACATCGAAAACTAACAAATAGGAATTGGAGGGGCAGCTCAGCTGTTTAAGTCCACGCCGCAGCAAACATGAAAATCAGTGTGGAGGCACTTGACTGCAGCCCCATTGCTGCTTGGGGTTTGGGGTAGGAGCTGAAACAGGCAGACTAGCTGAATTGGTGAACCTCAGGTTCAATGAGAAAACCATTTTCAGAACCGAGGTGAAAGGGCCAGTGATTTGGCTCACTTGATAGAGGCACCTCCCACCAAGCCAGAAAATTTAAGTTTGATCCCTGGGACACAGTTGGTAGAAGAGAAGATAATCCCAAAAGTCGTCCCCTGGGGACTGACACACAAACATCATGGCAAGCACACACAGCCCACACACATACACTGGCCTACGTGCATACACATACAAACAGCTAAGTAAATAAAAGGGGGTTTGGGTTTTTGTTTGTTTGTTGTTTTTCAAGACAGGGTTTCTCTGTAGCTTTGGAGCCTGTGCTAGAACTAGCTCTTTAGACCAGGCTGGCCTCGAGTGTGATTGCACCCACAGAGATTTATCTGCCTCTGCCTTCCACGTGCTGGGATTAAAGGCATGCGCCACCGCCGCCCAGCATAAATAAAAGGTTTTTTTTTTGTTTTTTTTTTTAAAGATTTATTATGTATACAACATTCTGCCTCGATGTATGCCCGCACGCCAGAGGAGGGCGCCAGATCTCAGTACAGATGGTTGTGAGCCACCATGTGGTTGCTGGGAATTGAACTCAGGACCTCTGGAAGAGCAGCCAGTGCTCCTAACCTCTGAGCCATCTCTCCAGCCCCCAAATAAAAGGTTTTTTAAAAGGCGAAGGACAATTGAGGACTGGGATGATGTGTATCCCTTGCCTCTACACACGCATGTACACACACACACGTGTACACAAAACTAGCAAACAACCATGAGCCTGAGCCTGGCTTATTCTGTCAAACGCCAGCTGATCCATGGATGTGGAAGCCAGTTTTCAACCTCTCAGTTTTGGGCGTTACAAAGTCAGCACTGCAGTGCCTCTGGAGGTGTGCTGGAGTCTCCACTTCGTGTGGAGTAAGCATCTGTTGACTCAGGTTCTCAGTATTTCTGAAAACTTGCCTTTTAGTTTTATGACCAACCTAATTCCAAGAGTTCCTATATGAGACCCAATCCCAGTGTGATTTTGATGGTGGAGTCTTTGGAACCCAGCCTGAAAGAAGAAAACAAACCTATCTTTACAGAAGTAAACAGATGACTTAGTTAAGTTGGTGTTGAAATTAACTATCATAGTATAGTAAAAATGGCGACATGGTTTGCTTTTTTTAATAATGGATTTGTAGTATATAAATTCTATCTCAAAAGAGATTTTTCAGGGCTGGAGAGATTGCTCAGAGGTTAAGAGCATTGCCTGCTCTTCCAAAGGTCCTGAGTTCAATTCCCGGCAACCACATGGTGGCTCACAACCATCTGTACTGAGGTCTGGCGCCCTCTTCTGACCTACAGATATACACACAGACAGAATATTGTATACATAATAAATAAATATTTTTAAAAAAGAGATTTTTCTGCAATTTAGGGGACTGCACTCAAGGGCTTCAAGCAAATGAGACCAACATTCTACTGCTGAGCTAAATCCTTAGCCCTTTGCATAGAGAGAGAGATAGATGATGATAGATAGATAGATAGATATTTTTTTAAGTTTTTTAAGATACTAAAAAGAGACTTGTAGATGGGAGAACTGAATACAGAGGACTGGGCAGTGCTCCTGGGACAGGAAGGGGTAGCGAGGGAGGGAGAGATGCCCTTAGAGACTGCACAGCAGAGGGGAAGGAACTGGAACCAGAAAAGGAGTATGTATGTGATTGTGTTGGTTTTCTTGCTAGCATGTCTGTACTGCAGTGATACATTGGAAGTGAGCAGGCACGAGTTGACTTCATACTTTTAAATGTATTGAGGGGAGGGGGGAAGCTTTTTATATTAAGCCTACAACATTTATACTCAATAGCTACAAAATGTATTACATTAAGTCTCACATGGGCAGATTTTAATTTCATTAATTAGCGAGAGTGTCTCGCTATGAAGACTAAATGACATCGTGTCAATACCTCTTCCCAGCACAACTTGACAGGTGTTTGGTGAATTTGTAAGGGAATTGATAGGGACT